CATCACTTGGGGCAACCTGAAGTTGGGAGGTTGGAAGGGGGCTTTTGGAAGGTGCCTCCTCTCCTGGCATTTGAGGTACAGAAGGGCCCTCTGGGATCCAGAGAACAAGGAAATGAGGGTTTTAGTGGGAATGGAGTCGGGGACTTGAGGAGTTAAGGTAAAGGACTCAATGCTAATAGTTTGAAGATCCAGGCTGGTGAGCTGGAGAGGCTGAGTCAGGGCCTGACACTGAGGCCAGGTGGTGTCACGCAGTCAGGAGGGCCTGGAGGGTGTTAGGCTGTGGCCCGGCAGATGCGAGCGGTCAGGGCCAGCCCAAGAGCTCAAGGGCTAGACTGAGCCTTCCCAGCTGGCCCTTCCCCACACCTTTGGTGCCCACGCATCCTCTCCACCTCCTCATTCAGGGAGCTCTTTTTCCTCCTTGTTTCTCAGGGAAGGGCTATATGGAGAGGAGAGATCTGAGCAGACCCCAGACAGGCCTCAGACACACACACACACACACAGCCAGACCCACCAGCACGGTGACGGCATGCTCCTTATCCTCTTCTGTCAATTTCTGATCAATGCAGTCCTTCAGTTTCCTGGCATTGGCCAATATTAAAGAGTTGTTTTGGTATTTTTCCACTTGTGCAACATATTCTTCTGGGGTTCCCGTCAGGAATATGGTAACATCTTTTTTCACGGCTGGGCAGATGTCACAATCTGAAACATAAAGCAATGAAAGACACTCATGAAAACACACTCTTCCCTTACACCCCGACATGCTTAGGACTGCCCGGGAGGCCTTAAAACCCCGGAGAATCCATGTCCCCAGGAACACACTTCCGCTGGAGATCAGGAGGGAGGCAGCCCAGAGCAGCGCGAGGGCACCGGCCCCCATCATGGTGCAGTTGGCTGGTGCTCCCTACCTACCCTGGAGCCCTTTTATACTTGCTGTTGGCCCCACAAAGGGGAGCGGGGACGGAAGGGGCCTGTATCTGATGCCTCCTTTTCCAGGAGGTTCTGCCAACGCCATTCCCAGGCCATAGCTTGGAATTCCCTGGGGCTGTGTAGGTGGGAAGTGTATACTTTGAAGAAATCCTAAGTCACTGAGTCAACAAAGGGCACTGGCTCAGCCTCCCTTCCCCCCCTCCAGGGCTGTCTGAGGTCAGCTGACACTGAAAACTTAAGAACTGAAATTTCCTAGGTTGACTAGGAAAAGGGGCAAAAAGGTCCCCAAATCAGGCCTCCTGAGGGATGCCCAGTGTCAGCCTGTCACAACTGCCTGTGTCCTTGACGGCAGTCTGGTCCCCCCTAAGGATTTCTCAGGAAGCTCAGTGCTTAGCTGGCTTCACAGCTAGTACCGGCCAAGAGAAGGCCAGAGCACAGGCCCCTGGTCAGGCTCTCTGGTGACTGCTGCCTCCCCTGCTCTCGTCACAATGTCCTTGACATGCTCAGTGGCCCCCCTTGGGCCAGTCCCCTGAATCTGTTTCTGAGCCCTGAATCCTCCCCTACATGCTGGCCCAGAAGTCGTAGTTGTCTGTAGACCAAGTCTGCCACCTGCTTACTTTGATAGCACCTCAATCTGACAGAAATTTCATCCCCCGCCCCCCCCCCCCAGCTGCCTCTTTTCTTTTGAGTTTCTCTGTATCGCTATCATTTCTCTAGTCTACAGCTACAACCCAAGGAAAAGCCACGCCCGCTGTGGCCCACCAACCCCTGTGCGATTTGTACACTTGCCCCCTCCTCCCTGCCCTGCCGCCTCTCTAAACATATCTCTGTGCTTCTCTCCTCCCTCACTGCCCCCATCCTGCTTCTGGGCCTTATCAAGTGTCCTGCAGAGGCCCTTTGCAGGGGCCGCCCTCGCTGCCTGCAAAGCTCTTTCTCCAAGTGCAGCACGATTCATGGCCCAATTCCTCAGGTGGCTGCAACTGTCACCGTATCAGAGAGACTCCCCCACACTCTTGGCCCCTTCTATAAAAGGGGACCCTCTACCATAGCACTCTGTTCTCCCCGACTTATCTTCCTCCATAGCACTTTTTTTTATTCTTTTTTAAAAAAAATATTATAATAAGTATTTCAAAGGGTATTACATATGTGTCCTTCCCCCCCCCGCCCTTGACAATCCCCTGCCCTCCCTTACCCCCCAGTGTCTTATGTCCATTAGTTATGCTTATATGCATGCATACAAGTCCTTCGGTTGATCTCTTACTCCCCTCCCTTCTGCCCCCCAACCCTCTCTGGCCTTCCCACTGCATTTTGGCAATCAGTTTGAGGCAGCTCTGCCTCTGTATCTATTATTGTTCAAAAGTTTGTAATGGTCTTTATTATCCATGAATGAGTGAGATCATGTGGTATTTTTCCTTCATTGACTGGCTTGTTTCACTTAGCATAATGCTCTCCAGTTCCATCCATGCTGTTGCAAATGGTAAGAGTTCCTTCTTTTTTACAGCAGCATAGTATTCCATCGTGTAGATGTACCACAGTTTTCTAATCCATTCATCTACTGATGGACACTTAGGCTGTTTCCGGATCTTAGCTATGGTGAATTGTGCTGCTATGAACATATGGGTGCACATATCCTTTCTGATTGGTGTTTCTGATTTCTTGGGATATATTCCTAGAAGTGGGATCACAGGGTCAAATGGGAGTTCCATTTCCAGCTTTTTGAGGAAACTCCATACTGTCTTCCATAGTGGCTGCACCAGTCTGCATTCCCACCAGCAGTGCACAAGTGTTCCTTTTTCTCCACATCCTCTCCAGCACTTGTCGTTTGTTGATTTGTTGATGATAGCCCTCCATAGCACTTCTTGTCATTGTGGCTTGTCCTCCACTCCCTCTTAGATGTCTGATGAGCACCAAGAATGTGAGGGCGTTGCTGTGCGTGCTGCCACATCTGTAAGACTGGGACCTGGGCTGACACACAGTAGGTGCTTCACCAATGTTTATTAGATGAATGGAAGGAATAGCTCATGTCTCTGGAATCTATATAAGTAGGAACACTTCACTTATATTTGCTATATATGTGCTTATGAACATTGCCTGGGATTAATTAAATAAGATAAAGGTTTGAAATGTTTTGATAAGTCAGAATTAAGGAGCTTTTTGCTGGAATAAGGTTTGCTGAAGCCCAGAGTTGAAGACAGGACATGTTTTCTGACCCCAGTCAGAACCCTATGCCAAACAGGATTCATAT